GTGGAAAATGAGGATTACAAGAGTTACAAATGATGAAGACTAAGGGGCATTGTTCGAGCCTCCAAGTGGGAGATTGTTGGGCGAATTGAGTGTGGAGGCTCGACAAAGAAGGGCAGCCGGCCCTAGTCTTGGTTCGACCCATATGGCAGTAAATTAGGTTTTTAATTTAGCCGGCCCTAATTCTCTATGTGGGCTTGGGCCTAACTTGGGGATTAAGTTTTCAACCCTAGTTTAGTCTTCATAAATAAGGATCTCTGTACTTGTAATTCTGTGAGCACTTGAATAATAAAAACCCTAGTTGCAAAGTGGATTAGGTCAGCCGACCGAACCACTATTAATCTTGTGTTCCGTTTTTCTCCGTTTTGATTTCTGGTTTGTGTGTGTTCTTGTTTGGTTGTGGTTTGCTATTCAGTATTCATAGATACCCCAACAATACCTTTATTGCCGAAAAAAGTCAAGGAATTCCAGAATGAGTCCAATCCTTCCCGACCAAAGGCATGAACTGACCAAGAACATCAGACCTGCATGATTTGGTTCATACTTGTGAGCCATATCATTACTTCTAAGTTGTCTTATCCCTTGTTTGGGGGAAAGATGAAAATAGGTTCACCTTAAATGCTACATATTGATCTGTGATGTTGGTCAAGTAAATAGAACATGAACTTTGTTTCAGCAAGTCGACTGGAACAGGAGAAAAACTGTTAGAAGATTCAAAACAATTCAAAACAGATACTTGACATATATATGGCAATTGGCAACCCTGTTCTATAGTTGTAAGTGTCATTTTGTATTATTTTAGGTCTTGCTTTATCGTTCTTATTGCATTTTGAGCCATTTGCTCCACAAGCCATATCATTTCCTCCACAATCTGAGTCATTCTTTGGATATATTTAGCATTGGAAATAAATAACAAGGCTTTCACTGTTTTGGAGTTTTAAAATGTGATATAAGGAATGCGGTGTAGCAAAGTTTTATGGTTATCAAATACATGTGTCATGATAGTGTTTAGAGAAAAGTATATATTCCAGTCTCTTTGTTACTCACAATGACTTCAAATCCATGGCATATCAAACCAAAACAAAATCAAGTTTGTCCACTTCTTATCATACCACATACGGAGTACAATATACGTAAAACACGAGTTAATCATCTAAACAAGTAACAAGTACATCATTTGAAATTGTACTTTGTATGTCCCAACAGTTTTAACAAAAATTTTCTCACTTTAAGTTAACGTTCTATTTGTGGGTGCTTGAAAAAAACTATTTTCTTTAAATAAAGGCAAATAGACAGCTTTTTTCTTTAAATAAAGGCAAATAGACAGCTTTTGAAAATTCAAACATCGTAGAGCATAATAAAATTTGGAAATTGAGAAGTATTATATGCGAAATTGATAAAATTACTACTAATTCGGCCTTAAAAACCAAAAAGAGGGGAAGAATCTAACCTGAGATTAAAGCTACTCAGTTGCAAAATAGAGGATTCCAAAGGGGCTTCTGTTCCATCACAATGATACAGCAAACTACTTTTGGGGAATATGAAACTCCAGACTCCCGCCATATTTAGGTCATGATGAAAACAGTCGATAGAGATCCAACGGTGTATGGGCAAAAATGGCATGAAACCTGAACAAGCGTACTCAACTTCTTAAAGGAAAAGTAACACGGTTGGAACTGGTACTAAATACCCTCTATTATTTTATATTATATAGTGAGATTTATTTTATCCCTCAAATTTGATTTTGGTTTCACTTTAGAATTTCCGATAAGTTATTACATTGGAAGACATTTCAAAACATAAAACAAGGACTATAACCTTCTATATAGCTTAATATGCCAAAATTAGCTTCAATCTCAAAAGAATCAATATAAAAAAGAGGCTAACTCTGACCGTAAGCCAAAAATCCATCTATAATGCACTCCTTTTAATGGACTTTTATAATATGAAAAATGATTTGATTAAAATAAATTATTTATAAATGTAATAGATGTTTTATATATAATTCTAAATAAATCTATGGTTGTGGTGTACTTAAAAAAAGGCATCAATAGTTAAATGGTAGTGGAATGTGAAATTAAAAAAGACATCAATTGATTGATTGTAGTTTAATTCAAGGGTAGATTCCAACAGGAACATTTAAGGACTGGATACACGAAGGATACATTATGTGTACGGTCCATCTTCATGCCATTCTATTTCTAAGACTTGAAAGAATCAAATTTATCAATACCAAAAAAAAGTATCAGAATAAAGAATGATATCAAAATCATACCGGTAAACTTCTTAACTAAATGAACTTTTTTTTAAAAAACGAATAAGGTATAACAATGCTAAAATATTATCAAGCAAAGTGCATTAATGATTAACTAACAAACTGCTATGAAGAATTTTACCCTATGCTTCGGCAGCTTCGCACAAGCTCAAAAATTCTTAATAAACTGCTATGAATAGATTTATAAATTCTAAAACTGAAAATTTTCTTTAGAGCATCGATACAATAAAACATAATGTTTTAGATTAAAAGCATAGACAAAAGTATAATGCAATGACTCGAGTTTAATATGCATCCCTCATAGAGTCCAAATAACACTTTGAAATAGCTTAGCAAACATGAAATAAAACATTTTTATGTAAAGCTTACACACTTGGCAGACTGCCACAATGAATAGCATATTGAATATAAGGACATAATTTCCCGTGGGAAATAAAAAACGAATGAAAATATTAAAGTGAGGTATTAGTTATACAACCAAAGTAATTAAAATAGTAAGTCGGCAAACTTTGACACCATTAACGACATAGAGCACAATAAAATTTTGCAGCGCCATTAGTTCTTCAATGTATTTATGTAAACAAAATTAATGATGAAGTCGACTTGCAATTTGAAGATAAATTACTCAGTATATGAACACAAAAAAACAGAGACAGACCTGATATTGATCCTTTGGGACGTTGAACTACATAGAACAATAAGATGAAGTGTTTTAGGAATGTGTCTCCTTGCCATTTCATGTTCATAGGTAAATCATAGCAATATGCCATTTGGGAGAAAATGAACACACCCTAAGCAATATGCCATTTGAGACTCTTTTAGGGCTTTCCCAGAATCCACATACTCATAAAGCATTGAATTCACCTATCAGTTCACAGAATGCAGGTATCTTAAATTTCAAGAAACCAATATTGTTGTTGTTGTTTATTCATTTATTCTTATCGGATCCGAAACTATGATTGACTTAACAAAACCCAACTGAACATTTACGTTCTTCCCGTTTTATTTTCATATGTGAAATCATTATCTTTCTTTAATTCAACAATTTTGGGGAGCCGCATGAAAATAAAAAATTCATGTGGGAGAGATTCTTTGCTAATGAAACACAAATAGGGAACTCACAAATCTCTATCTGATTTTTGCTCAAACTTTTTAGGCAACACAATACTCCGTATACCATGAATCCCAAATTGACAAACTCTAACAATTATTTATCAGTGTAGAACACTATCATCTATTAAATCAAATATCACGCAAATCAAAGACCAAATGTCCAATTAATCAGCTTTTTAAAAAACCCTCTAAAGCTGGATAAGAATTCATAAAAGAGAAACAAATATATTAGGGATTTTGAAATACCCCAAATCAAAAACGGTTAAAACGTGCTGGTGGTGACCTCGTTAGAATCGATCTGTGGCAATGGTTGGGAACATGGATGGCGAGAGCCGATCCAGCGGCATGGATGTCTGGTCAGAACTGGTTGTCCCCTGGACCTCGAGTTCTTGTGGCTTGAATCTGTGTCACCCCCATATTTGCTGGAATCAGATTGTATTTGCGATTTTGTTTGCTGATGCATCGCCAGGGATTCCGTGTATTCATGTAATTGTCTAGTGTCTGTAACGGAACGCAGAAATTCCGAAAATCGGGGTGATTATGCTGGGAAATCCAATCGCACAAGAATCAGAAATCGGGCTGATTATGCTGGGATGATTATGCTGGGAAGAATTTTCAAGCGAGTAACGCTTGGAATAACGGCGTAGGGGTAGTTTGTGATAAGAAATTAGATTTTTAAATTTTTATTTTCAGAAAAAAAAACAAGTTGAATGAGGAAGATTGAATTTGTAGAGGATTTAAAAACGTATGAATGAATACTACCAAAACCTAAAATAAAAATCTAAAATGATAAAGAGACTTAAAGATCCATAGATTTGAAGTTTGAAATAAAAATCTTACATCCAATCCATAGAAATGAAACAACGTGTATCATCTCCGGCTCGACGGCGCGGCAGCGCGGTGATATAGAAAGAGGCAGGAAGAGGGTGAGAAGGAGAGGAACGGCGGAAGGGATATGAGAAGCATATAAGTTAGGGTAGAAAATATAATTAGGTTTTAATAGTGGGTTGGGTTGAATGGTTGTGTTGGGCCGGGTAAGTATAAATGGGCTGGGGAGTTAGTTTGAATTAGGTTTTTTAAGAGGCTTAAATGGGTTGGTGGGTTTGAATATATTGAAATCTTAACGACTTAGTTCGCGTTAAGATTTGATTTTGGTGTGTTGATTTTAGATATTTATTTTCTCATTTTGGATTTGGTCGGGTTAGTTGTGGTTAAATTCAAGTTTGAAAAAAACTAAAAAGTAATCATGAAAATTGAAAGATTGAAATATATTAAAAATTTATAATTTTAAAGAGTACATAAAATTTAAGATTTTAAAAAATCTGTAACTAAATGAACTTTAAAAAAAATTCAAGATTAAGCTAAGATTGCTTCCACTTTTATTAAACTTCTTGCATATTTGATGGAACAAATTCTTCTAATAATTGTTTTTTGGAAACTCATTATACTCTGAGTGATATATTTATTACGTAGTAAATGGTTAGAAAACTCTATTTTTAAATATTATACTCCTTCCGTCCCGGAATAAATTTCCCGGTTTGACTTTTAGTCATTTTTAAGAAAGCTCTATTTTTTATTTTTATAATTTAGGTAAATTTAAAAACTTGATGTGAAGCACAATTAAAAAGTCCTCCATATTGGTTAGAGAAGATCAAAAATTTAGCTACTAAAAATGATTTAACCATTTCAAAATACTTTCTTTTATTTACTCATTTACAGAATTTAAGTTAGATAATATTTAACTCAATTATAAAACACTTAATACAGAAAATAATTAATGCAGGAAAATATGTAAATATTTTTATTATATTCAAAAATTAGACTTTTTCACAACTATAAACAAATTATTGAATGCATAAAATCATCCAAAGGCTTATCAAACAAAACAAAACACATTTTGAATATGGAATTCGTAACTCAATTAGTCGTTATTTTGTCTCTCTGTAAATACGGAGTAAAAAAATTAGAAAATATATTCTTCCCGTGCAAAGCACGGGTACGAATCTAGTAGCTTTTCAATAGAAGTAGCTTAAATCTACTTACTTACCGTAAACAATTCACAACCCCACTGTAATTGTGATTCAACGCCTATAGGGCATTTCATCGATCAGGTGGCGCTCAAAAAAAGAACCTGCGATTATCAATATAAAGAGGGGAAACGATTGGAGAAGACGATTTTCCTAGGATAATCTAACAAGACATAAACATGATTCGGAGAGATAGAAGAGGAAAGGCGGTGCAGTGTGATAAAGGAGCTTCTGCTGTACGGTGTTGGACCTGACAATGCAAAGGTTTCATCAAAAAAATTTTGTTACCGAGTACTATAATATACCGAATAAATTTAATACGGAGTATAATTAGTTAATTTTAAGATCGAGTTTTTTTATGTATCAACTTTTATACTCCGTATTATGTATCGAAGTATCATTTATTTATGTACAAACTATTTCCAACATATTAAAAATAAATCCTTACACGTATCATGATTGATTTCCAACAGACTAAAAAGAAATCAAAAAGTGGATACACGTGAATATATACTTCTTATTTTAAAAAAACATTTTATACTTTAACAAAAAAACATTGTATACTACATATTTAAAAAATACAGAATAACGAAAAAAGATAAAATTTATTTGAGACACATAGGGTAAGTTTGGTTGGAGGAAACTGTTTTTGTTTGATTTTGAAAGATAATTTATTTCCATATCCCCATGCCAATAAGCTCTTATTATTTTAAGGTATATATATAAAATATATTTTAGGGTAGATAAAAGAAGATGAAGAACAAGAGATGCAAGCTGGTAATGAAAAAAGAATGCAACTTTCTTTTGTCCCACACCAATTCCGTAAAACGAGTGTTATCCTCAAAGAGTTAATAAAAGGCGAGAGCTAATTGGTTATTAAGGCATACCTTTCTCGGCCTTTTGGCTAAGATCAAGTGTAGTATCTGTTCTTATCAGTTTAATATCTGATATGTGGGCTATTAGCCCACGCGATATTAACTCTATTTTTTAAGGGGGAAAGCCCACCAAAGGCAGCTTGCTGTCTTGGAGTTTCAAGCGTTGCCTTGGTCTTGCACTACTGACTTCGCTTGGCAACCCCACCAAGTCTCAAATACTAATTTTTCTTGTTGGGAAGTTTTTTTTATTTTTTATGTACTTAGAATTAAAAGTAAAGTAGAGGAGAGAATATAAGGGTCGGGTTGCTTTGGACGAACATCCTTTATATATATTATTTGAGACTCGGGCTCACAGAATGTCGACATGTGGCGGGTCTACTTGGCAAGTTTTTTATGAGTCATCCGCCACCTTTGAAGAGTTTAATCTGAACCGTGAAAATATAATTTTATATCTTTCTAGGTTAAGATTAATTATACGGATTATATATGCCTTATGGAATATGCCGCTGATCTTATAAATTACGAAGTAGAAAAATAAGAAGATAATTAGGATGAGTAATTTTTAAATTTTTTTCTAATGTATTTTGATTAATTATAATGAGTACAATGTAAAAAAACATCATAGTTTTTTCTACTGATAATATATGTTTAATTTATTTTTATGTATATTAATATTTCCATTGAATAATAATAATAATAATACATTTAAGTTAGAACAAATTGAAAAGGTTAAAAAGGAGAAAGACTATTATAGACGTAAAGCATAAAAAAGTATCAAAATTACTTATTTTGACTTCTACCTCAATACTTCTCCCTTCTAACTATTATTGTCATTTGAGTTTACTTTCATCTTTTTTTATTGTGTATTCTAACGTCTAACATTAGATAATTTTAAAAATAATTAAAATTTTGATTCTAGGCATTTTTTTAACTGAGAAAATTATAATATCCAAAGTGGACACTTAATCGTATTGTTTAATAGAGAGAGAATCGTGAGTATTTCTTTGGTGCACCTTGAATGCGTATCATTTTTGTGGACCTTCTCACATAAAATACATTTTTTTAATTTTTTATTTATAAAAACAAATTCTTATTTTAGTAATAAAGAAATACTTATTTTGCTCATATGTACGTCTATGGTACACCTTAAGGCCACCATAGAATTTGTCGAGAATCATTAATATGTTTAAAACAAAATTCATAGATTGAAATAAGACTTTCAATGCGTTAAACCAACGATAATAATTTTAGAATTATTGAAGATATTTTTTTGAAAAAAATGCATACGCAATGTTGACTACTTAAGTAAATTGTTTTTGGGGAAGCCTAATATAAATAAATAACCTTAGATATTTGAAGAAAATTATACTACACCTGTCCCATTAAATTTTTCAAATACAAAGAAAGGCGTCCCACAAAACTTTTCAAATTAGAAAAAAGGCACACCCTAAAATCATTTATCCTACATATCATACATTATTACCTTATTATAAAGTAAAGGAAAAGTTTAAAAATAATATCAAAATTATATATTTTTAAAGGAGTTCAGTGTTATGTCATTTCTAGATGATAGTCTTCTTAATAGATTTCAAAATAATTTCTTGATTCAGAACTTGAACTATGACAAAGAAAAATTGTCATTTGATTTTAGAGGATATTTATCTACGATGAATGAAGATCAAAGAAAGATATCTGATGTGATAATCAAAATCTAATATCTAAAAGAGGAGGTTTCTTTTTTATATATGATTACGGGAGACTTGGGAAAACATTTATATAACCAGTGTCTACTTTTCAAGAACGAATGGTATGTAAGGCTGTTTTGAATGTTGCATCCAGTGACATTGCAACATTGCTTTTGCATGGTGGAAGGATAGCACACTCGAGATTCTCAATCTCTCTGGCTTTAACTGAGTGCTCAATGTGTAATATCAAACAAGGGGGGTCCGAAAGCAGAATTAATCTAACAAGCAAGTGGAATCATATGAGATGAAACATGTGTGATGAATAGATTTGTTTTTGAGGTATTGGATCACACAATGAGAGAGATATTGAGGTTCTACAATAATAACTCTAGAAATGAACCATTCAGATGAAAAATATTAGTACTCGGAAGTGATTTTTGCCACTTCCTTCCAATTTTACCAAAGCTTTGAGAGAGAAAATTATAGGTGCTACAGTGATTTCCCCAAAATAGAGGTTGTATTGTAAAGTTTTTACGTTGAGCAAGAATAAGATATTGCATTCATCTAATGTCCTCTTACCTAGATAGGGATACACAAGCTTTTTCTGATTAGATAATCAAAATTGGAGATGAAAAGCTTGGTCAAGTGTTTGGTTGAATTGCTGACGTTAAAATTCTGACTGGATTCTTGATTCTTGACATAAGCTATCCTCCCAAGAGTATAGTACTGGAATTCACTTATCTGAAGTTATTGGAGAATATGAAAAAATATTCCTTTTTTAGGATTAGACACCATTAGCACCCACTCTCGAAGTTGTTGAAATGATAAATGAGTTTGTCTTATTCCTCATTCTCAGTGATGAAAAAGGAGTAATTGAGTTATGATTCTTAATGGCAAGCAGAAGCCAATGTAGGTGTTGATGCTTATTGGATAACATTTGAATTTTTGAATGAAATCAAATGTCCAGATGTTCGGGGATCCCAAACAAATTCAAAAAATAGTTTTGAAAAAAAAGTGTACTGATTATGTTATTTGGATTGTATAATGGTACAAGATTAATTGTTGAAGAGGTACGAAAAAATGTTAACCGTGCAATCGTGGTTTCGAGAAATTGAGACGGGAAAAAGGTTTACATACCTCGAATAAATTTGGTACCACATGATCCAAGGCTACCCCCTAAAGTTTCAAAAAAGACAATTTCCAATAGTTTCCACGAGTGAAGAAATATACATAATTAAAAATGTTTATTTTAGATGACAATAGAAACTCTTGCAACCATACCAAAAATGTTGCATACTCTGAAGTGTTTCAAAAAATTTGGATTTTACTAAGTCTTTGTGTTGTATATACTTTCAATTCTTCAAATATTATTTATTCTATTTTGATGTTGATGTATATATAGTATTAAAAATCATGTAAGAAATTTATTTTATTTAATCCACAAAAAATAATACATGAAAAAAAGAATTGAAAA